AGTTTCTGGTGTTCAAGAAGATGTCCCTCGTAATAAGGAGTACAGCATGTGGGGGAATAGAATATCGATCAAGGAAGCCCCTGTTTTCTTTGTTGGAAGCACCCTTGCTGTGAGACTTCCTTTTTGTCTGTTTGCCAGTTGTTGTACAAAGAGGTTGTAAAGGGCTATAGTATGGTGATTGTAGAAGGCAAGTCAGTCGAGCGTTGGCTATGGGATTGTGGAGCTTGAGAGATTAAGTTTTCTGCGGGCGCCGGAGTAGGGCTCTGATGCCGATGATTCTTGCTGCGCCATCATGTTGCGCTTTCACTTCAACTCTGGGATTCACAACAGCCTCTCCGTCAACCAGAGTAACGAGTACAGCAGCCCCTCCTGAAGGAGCCCTCCTCATGCCTAAACAGACACGGGACACTACTTGTACTTGCTAGACCCCACGGGAGGGCATGGAGGATGTGACCGGGATGTGGTGACCCTTCTTGGGGAGGGTGGAATGCAAGTTCTTGAGAAAGCCACCTAAATCCTTCGATCCTTGCTCCGAAGAAGGAACCGTCCCATCAAGGACTGGAGCAGATTTCTGGGCTGAGCTCCAGACCAAGAAGTTGAAGGCAACTATGGGCTGGGAGTTCGAAGTATAATATGGGGTTTAGAGTCCAAAGCTTTTGGTGGGTGTATGTACGGTACGGCTCCATACGAATTTTGGTGTGTGTGTGTGTGTGAATATGTTGGGGCGTCCCGTTGTGGAGACCGAAATATTGAAATTCTAAATTTGTTGGGAATCCTTCTTGAGAGCGGCGGCCACGACTTGATAGCAAATGTAGAGTGCAGACATAAGTACATACAGACATAAGTACAAGTACACACTACATTTAAGATAACGCAGGATACATACATTGTGCGAACTCCCCTAAACAGGGCCACCGGAATGTGCTTTGGGCGCTCTACTTTCAAAACTTCCTGAAACTCTTGCACTCAGCGTGCGACAAGTGTTGCAGAGCGGCTCTGATATGGGACTTTCTCAACATGATCCCTTATAGAATCCCTGGGCGGACAGAAGAAGGGCCAATGTAGTGGGGCAGGTGATCTAAAAAACCGTACAGGAACACGTGGTAACCCGAGAAGCGTAACTTGTAGACCCGGTACGCCGCCCCTGAACCGTGCCAATCAGACGGTGCTGCTGGAACGTGGCGGCCTCATTCGAGTGTCGGCTTCTTGGCGACAAATGTTCCGGGCAAATTCAATCAAGGGAAGTCTTTCTCCACGGGAGAGAGATGGTGTCCGGAGCGCCCACACTGCAAGAGACGGATTTTGGTCTGCAATTCAATCACTAATTTCTAGGTAGGGAAACACCCAAGGTAAAACCAGGAAATTTCCTGTAGCCCCCTATACATGCTGTCATGGGTACCATTTGGTAATATATTGCTACCTAGAAAACCTCCATGCAGGGGCTTCCTTCACTTTTTCCGTTCATGGAGGTCCCCTGGTGGGCACAGAGGCGGCCAACCAAGAGTAAGAAAGAACCAAGCCCATTAAGGGTTGCGTACAAGAAGATGTAACTACACAGGCAGGAGAACAGTTCAGGGGATATTTGATTAATTCGCGGCTGCTGCGTTTTGACTGGTCAGGTACTTACGCCTTCTTGTCTTGCTAGGTGGTTAGATTCTGATAGATGAACATTTGGCAACCTTGTCTTGGGGGTGCCGAGTGACCTGTGGCAACACCGGATTCGACATGGAGGCCTAAACAAGACTGACTAGTGACTGGCGGTCTCCAGCGCACGGAGTCATGGATCCAAGTAGCAGTCCCGATGTAAGCCCTAATAGTACTGACCATGACCCATTCCTTCATTCCTTGTCAATCCGCTCCCCCTAATACTCAAATCCCTCACCCCTTTCCTCCCCCCAACGAGAAACATTCTTGTCATTGCCGAATAGTACTATATTGTGAATATATATATACACACCTACGATGCAGGGTATTTTTTTTGGCGGAAGAGGATTGACATCAGGCTGAATCGACTTGACAATTCAGTCGCCGCCTGACTTCCTTATCGGGCAGATGATCGGGAATGAAGGATTGAAAAAGAACGTGGAACGTGCGAATCTCGAATCCCAATAAGTAGTGGGCTTTCCTAATTCTGATGGAGGTTTGCACTACAAGGATGCCCCCAGACGCAGAAGCCTGGTGGACTAAGCTAGCGTTCTTGCAATCTAGTTGATGTGGGCAGAAACCCTGAGCCACTCCAAAACCTAAACCCTAAACCCCAAAACAAGAGGCACACATCAAAAGTCCGAGGGGTTAACACAAAAAATCCCAAAACAAGAGGCAGATTGCTTCCCTGCGAAGCCAGAAGGGGCTTGAACTATGCGATGCAGCAATTACCTCTGCTTTGAATTTCGCATCTGTTGCTCATATTAAGCTAAAGAAGGCATTTCTCTTTCGAAGCATACTCCTCAGGCAATGTAGACCCTGATCAAAGCGGACTTGTGTGTCGAAATGCCAGGATCCCGTTTATGATTCCCCCCATGGGGAGGTGGGATTATCACTGGTATGGATTTCGGGTGCCGAACCCACTCATTACATAATAGCTGGCGAATGCATAGTATATACTTACATTTAGTTTTAATATTACTCCTATTTCAGGCTGTTAATGGGCAGACCCAATACCCATTCCTGCCGGGGTGATCACGGGGCCTCGCTAAGGATTTCCTGTCCGCTGAGCTGGCGGAGAAAACCTTCTCAACGATGCCACGCAGTCGCAAAGTGTAAGGACAGGGGTTGGCACATTAGGGCTTGGGAAAGGCCAGATATCTCTGGTGTGCTTTCTACATGAGATGCACTGTCTTGAGACAGCTTCAACAACGGTTGGACAGAGGTTTGTATGGTTTGAGAGCCGTTGCTGTATTTGCTATCAGTTAGCAGTGACCATTTCCATTTTCTAACCATGCACCACTCTCTAGACCCCAAACCATAACAACCTATACTTCAACCCCCAACTCACAAAAATACCCATAGTAAGACCCGCATGATGAAAAAACATACTATGGAACCATGCGTAACCCCATAGATAATAGAATACTCAACCCCATAGCATGCCCCACCCGATAGAAAACCCACAATACCCAGCCCGAATTCCCCAGCCCTAGAAAATGGAAATGGTCTATTGTAATAACTTATCTATAATAGGAATAAGGTTTAGATTTAAGGTCGAACCGGCTAGAACTATACTCGTAGCATAGCATGAGCTACTTGTCCGAAGTCCGTTTTCAGCTTCAACAGCACCTTCACTGGAGCATGACTTCCTGCATATTTCTCTCAATCAATATACGACTAATAATAGTATGGATAATAATTGAAATATTAGCAAGAATAGTAATAACAATAATACTCTCAATGGCCATGAAAGGTGGCCCGGCATTGGCCTTGTTCTTTTGGGCACAAAGGGCGCCATTCCAGTCATTTCTTGCGGTCCGTCCTGGCTCCTGGTGCGTTCCCACACAGGGTCAGTCACATTGAGCGGGGCCAAGCAAAATGAACAGACGGATTCGGACTTGCGCATTCTCACCACATTCCGGAAATGTTCGAGTGTCCAACAGTTGTGTAGTGAGGAAGAGTGTATTCAGCGGACATGTGCAGCGCGGTTTGCCAGCAGTTTTCGGACCAGTTTCAGTAGTCTCTGTGGGCGATGTTCATACTTGTGCAGTGCGGGCAGATGGTCAGCTCGTCGGAGATTCTTCTCACATGCAATGGAGAATATGAAAGGACATCTTAGTTTTTTGAAGCAACGACTCAGCATGGAATGTATGGGACAGAAACGGTGCAAATTGGAAGGTGTAGGAACGGACATTAGCTTTGCTCAATGGCTTGGTGGTCTTTTCTGTTTCTGTCGTAGGCGCTCTGGGGTGAACTATGTTGTGTTTGACGTGGAAATCCTAAACCGTCAACTTTCGGTACTGCCCCCACTCATCAACAATTGGATCATTCTTGTTAGAATATAACGAAACAGCCCTTACTATGACCCATATTACTGGATGTTCATGCGTGGGGGCGGGGCCCAAGCTCAACTCTACAAATCCTAGGATGGTTGAGGTTTGGGGCTGATGTGGGCGTAGCTTCCCGGAGCATAAGAGAGTAGTCTGCTTGTTAGGTCCAGAGCAGCTAGGGCTTAGGGCTGAGGGTTTAGGTTTCAGGGTTTAGAGAGGGAAGCATTGCTTCCTGTAACAGTTGGATCGGGGCTTTTAAGATCGACCCTGACGTTTGATTTTCCATACCCCTAGTGCTTACAAACCTGCCTGAAACGAAGACAACTCATGAATGATGATCACGAGTTCAGTATTGAGGACAGGACGTCAACAGTTGTTGGGAAGGAAGGCTTTGCGTTCTTGGGTTGGGAACTTCGTACCACTACTGTACGAGCTCTCGCCGTGAAGCTGCATAGCTCCACCTAGGATTACCCAGACACCATCAGCAATAGCTTGCATGAGGATGTTTGTATCGTTCTGTCCGTGACGACGGCCAAGATCTCTATGCTCCGAGCACAATGCTTTACAATCCCGATCAAGCCCTACGTAATCTGCATGGTTTGTGCATAATTCGCCGACCCTAAACCCGAAACCATGAGGCAGTCCTTGCAGCCTGGCGAGTGGTCCGAGTCGAATTCCTCCCTCTATGACGACAAGGGCAAGTTTCTGGGTCAGTGTTGAGGCAATTTTTGCATGCTGTCGCAATTCCAACAGACTGGAGGTTGCCATGAACAATGGGTTTGTCAAAATGGTTCCCAAGATTCGGCATACAACTTGTGGGCCCTGAGTGGCATGCACATGTCAGCCTAAGAAGGGACATAGATGAGTATCTACACATGTACAGATGCATGCACGCATGCATGTGTGTGTATGCATGTATCTACATATAAGGAAAAGTAAATGTATGATATATGTACGCATATGCATATACATATACATAGATGCTGCACTGTGTTTCATACTTGTTGCATTTCTGGCCCAGGTATGGGGACAAGAGCGCCAGCCATTGGTTTTACAGGTGAGAGAAATGATGGGTCTGTTTTGGGAGACCGTTCGATTACAGCTTAGAACATTATTATGTTGGTTTGGGTATGCGGCAGCTGCTTGCTTCAGAACAGAGTGGGATTATTCTCGTACAGTGTCTAGGAAGGTGAAGGGCTGTGCGGTCTACCAAATGAGGGGGGCTATCCCAAACTCCGCTGGTGCCCAACTCTTCCTGCGTCGGCCCAAAAAAATCCTCTCATCACCAAACAGTGGCTTCAATGGCGAACCTGCTTGAGCTGCCGCGCAAGCCATCATCGCAGTAGAGCGCCCAAACCCACACCCCAAATCCTGTGCAAAACTATGTGCCTTCTCCATGGCCCTGAAGGTACGACGGTGATAAGCTGGATGGGACAGTTCGCGAGATCCAGTCCATTGGATCTGGCTTCTTTCCCAGCTTCCAGGCAGATTGCATGCTATCCAAACAAACCATGACCTCACAAATCTTTCTACCAAAAAATGACATTTCTCAGTTCCCAACCTAAGTAAGAAGTAAGTTGACACTGCAGGTGACGCGAACCAGCTTGCTGCAAGGGAAGATAGCGGCAGTAGACTGGTTAATGGAATGGCTAGCAAGCCACAGACTGGGACGAGTAAAGGCATGCAGAGTGGGTTCTCAGACTCAAGATTGTAGCGGTTTTCAGGGTTGCTCAGGCCTCCTGATGGGTGCCCAACATGGCCCAAGTTCTTTGATGTTCTTTGTCACTGCAGAATGTTTTTTTTTTCTCGGTAGCCCTGAGTGTCTGCGAGAAGTCGTGGACAGATCAGAGGTTCGGAAATGGTGGATTCTCTTATGACATCGCTTGCAGGGGCTCTCACACCTATCTTAGGTATACCATCTCAAGTCATAGCTTCTACGAAGCCGGTGCGCCTTGCACCAGAAGTGATAGCATTTGTGAGATTACTTCTTTCTTTTCACGGTTATTCGATGGTCGGCCGATTTGCCTCCTCCTTGGGTCAATCCCCCGCCCACTACTGTAACAGTTAAATAAGGGCCCTGCTGTATAAAATCCATATAGCCCAGGACCACAAGATGCCAGCCCAATTTCAGCTTATGGTTTTGGGAGGGGTATTGAAGATAATTTGGTTTGGGCTTATCATTTTCCACCTCCTCACTCCTTCCCTCTCCCCTCTCCTGTCTCCCCTCTCCTTCCCCCTTGCTGCCCCCTCCCTCCCTTCTGCTCCCTCCTCCTTCCTCCCTCCTCCCCTCCCTCTCGAGTCCATCCCTACATCCTGCAGTTAGTCAGTATTTTGCCCGTAGTGCACCAGTGCTCTCAGGCCGCCAAGTACGAGACCAGCGGCAATCTCTGCGCCCATGATGACAGCAACTATTTCCTCGTTCCTCCAACAGACCCCAACCGCAGCAAGGAGCTGTAAGATTCTTCTGCAGATGTAGCCTTCAGAGTTGACAAATTTGACAACCGGGATGTTGACCTTGCCAGGCCACCAGCTAGCATCACCATAATCAATCACGCAATTTTCCATTATCCCTATATAGCCCCAATATACTACCCTATTATAGTAGTTTCCATATAGGGTTCGCGGGCAGTTTGGGAAGGGATGCCGGAGCCTTCGCACAGACTAGAAGTTTCAAGACGGCCCGAAACTTCCTAGACCCTATTGGGGTTATATAGGCTTATAAGGGCCCCTATAATGGAGAATCAAATGGAAAAGAGAATGGAAAATGAAATGGAAACTGGTGTTTATAGGGATGTATATTCCTAGAAACTTGACCTACTATAATAGGGTAGTATATGGGGGTTATATAGGGATAATGGAAAATAAAATGGAAACTACTATAATAGGGTTTATACAGGGGTAAAGTTTCAAGACGGCCCGAAACTTCCTAGACCCTCCTCCTACCCTCTATTAGGGCCTAAGTACCTGCTATTAGGGACCATATATCCCCGATTAAGGGTACAAGGAGGGTCCTGGTTGACAGCACTTGGAATGCAGAGCTTGCTTCTAAGATTCTAAGCGTGACTTTGTCTTACTGGCTCGTAGTAGGGAATAAGGGAATATGCTATCTACAGATTATACAGGGATCCTTATCCTCTACTAACCACCAGTAAGTTGTGGGTCAAAGGACTGTGTTGCGTCTACATAGAAGATCTCAGCCAGCAAATACAGTCTGAAATCTGGAGAACCTTCGTTATGCCGACACGCTCGTATTCTCAAGCACTCCATTGAAGTCTCGCTCTTTTCGCTTTTGTTGTGTGGATGCCTGCAACGAAAGTATCTGGCATGACGGCTTCATAGAAGGGGGTTGCGGTTCAGGAACGAAAATGTAGATTAAGTTACCATATTCGGGTATATACTCAGTACCTTAATATTCATATACTATGGATACATGGCAAAAATGGGGTTTCCTTAATAGTAATTGAGACCTACCATAAACCCTAAGCCCTAAACCAAACAATTAATTTCCTTAACAGTAACCCAGTACTGTAGAGACCTGTTGCGGAAGGAGTATCCTGCTGGCCAGCTCCTTTTCCGAAAGATTGCAGTCATCTACTACCTGACCAAAGACTGGCGCCAGGAGAGTTGAGCTAAGGTCACGTAGACTTCTCGCGTTTAGGGTTTTAGGGTTTAGGGATTTAGGGTTTAGGGCTGTAGGGTTAAGCGATATATGTAGAACATGGAAGTGTTTCCCCGTAATGAAAAAAGTCTCCCCCACTTCCCCCCCCTCCCTAGTTGAAAGCCTGCCCGGAGAATCGTATCACGATGGGGGTATTCGAATTGCAAAGGGCGAAGTAGAGGCTTATTCAGCTAGGTAGAGAAAATCTTAATTCTGATGAGCAGTAAAATCTTAGGTAAAATCCAGTTAGAATTAGTTGGGACCTGATGGTTAAAGGACAATTGAAGCCTAACTAGAAATCTCATTACAGCTCATTTAATGCCAACTGACTTTTGATGACAACCTAATCAAATTCAATTGATATTAAACCGAATTCCCAATAAACTCACTGGCCTCTAATTAACCTTTTGCAAACCGTTTGCAATTCAATTGAAATCTACAATCATATTTGACTCGATTAAAGTCTACTCAAAGCCAGCTGAAATCTAGTCAGCATCGGCTTGAAACTGTAACAAGATCCATTGCAGTCTACGTTGAACCTAACCCAATGAAAGCTGTGTGAAATCTAACTAAAACCTGATGAAGACTAGCTGAAATCCAATTAAAGAATGAATGAACATCGGTTTACAATATCAATGAGCATCTATCTCCAATCAATGAAAATCAAGTTGCAATAACTTAGAACGGCATGTGGACAGTAAATACATCTTTTTATGAACACTCTGTACAAACAATGAAAATTCCAGGAACTCAAGAGATGCCTAATTCCGTTGGATTTCTCATTGTAGCCCCCCGAATGACCTGAGAACCCCCTAGTGGCTTAGGGTTTGGGTTGTAGGGTTTGGGGTTTAGGGTTTGGGGTTCTGTTGCGGGGATCCCTTTCGAAAAGTAATCTTGGCCGTTCCAAAAGTATTCTTCGGGGTCTTTCTGGAATTGGTGACTTGCTGGGAAAATTATTTATGATACAGGGAGGGGTGTATTAGTACGGGAAAAGATTAACAGAAACATAAAATTGAATAAGCAAAAAAAGCTCTCTATATACATGTATATATACAGATATACATATATATGTATGTACACACAGACACACACACACATGTCTACACCTATTACATGTACATCTATGCAGATGCATAGGATCCACTGGCAGAGGCCGGCCCCCAACATTAAGGGCTTCTAAAGTGCAGCGGTGCAAGACCCTGATCCCAGCTTACTGGTGCTGAGTGGGGGAGTGGATCCCCATATTATAGTCACTATGTATACATATATATATACCCCCTGCAATGGTACTTATATTCACTCCCCCACTTACTGGTCCTCAAGGAGCCACCAGGCTTGAGATTTGAGCCCTGGTGAACGGTGCTTCTTAGGTTTCTTGCAAGCAGTCTGTGTGGTTCGATCAGGTTCTCCCCGGCAGTTTGTCTACAGAAGAGTCGGCTTGAAGTGGCTATCAGCTCTTTTCTTCGTTTCACATTGGGGCAGAGATTTTGGAACCTCCGTTTGCGTGCCTGTACATCGAGAATTCAATGCTGCTAGACCGATTAGAACTCCAAGCCCATGGACCCAAAGCCCAAAGCGCAACAGGACTACGGCGGTGCGCTTCTGGACCTGCATGGTGACACGAAGCATCTGGTCCCACGTTTCAACTCGATGGTGGCCTTTCTGGTACCGCGGCAGATATTTTGGCAAGCTCTTGTTCTCTGCGAGCTTAGGGTTCGAAAATGTGACGTGCAACATGCGCATTGGCATGACGCATTGCCAGCCCCAGCATGCAACCTTGTCACAGCTTCATATAACTGATGCCTCTGGCTTTTGCCACATTTGGCCATTCGGGGCATGAAGTTGCTGTCTCACTTCCCTACATACTTTTATTGCTTTTAGGCTTGCCGCTTCTTGTATGCAAAGACGGGCTGCTAGGTGATATCCGGGGCAAACTGTTTAAAGGTCTTGCAGGCTATATTGGGTTTAGGGTTATATCGGAATAGAGGAAAAGAACATGGAAACTGCTATATAGTAGAAGTATTCTCATCTTCAAGCTGTCTCCATTGAAAACATGGCATTGCGTCTTCGCCCTCATTCTCGAGAGGTCCCGCGCGTGCATCAAGTTCAAGAGCTTGCTGCCAGTTGCCTGGTGAAAAGGTGTACAGTAGTGTGGTGGTTTATAGTAATTGGAATAATAATGATTGTAAGAGTAACAGCAATAGTAATAGTATTATTTGTATTAACAATAGTGCCGTCCCGGCTCTAAAACGGAGTGAATTATGGGCAGACTGGTCTCTGACGCGCGCAGACTGCCACTGCCAGAGCTTGGGCCTTGAAATCAGGGTGTAGAATTCAGGGTTCAGGGTTTACGCCGAAGTTGCAAGTTGTTCGATAGATGCCATGGCACGCCAAACTTGCCCACAGATGTAAACTTCCCAAGTTTCCACTAAACCAGTCGGATCCTGAACTTCGTGGGCAGCGTCCTGAAAGTAAGAAGGGAATTCCTACTCTTGAGTTGCCCAGGTCAGGAACCCAATCCCCGAACTACAGTCCTATGCAAGTTGGGTGTCCAAATACTCAAATCCCGCATGAGGTGCCTCAAATCCCGCATGAGGTGCCTATGTTCTCCCTAGAGTATCCTCGTATCATCCTGAAGCATTTGATCCCCACATATTGGCCACAATATCCCCATGTATTCAATCCCCATAATTCCCCCCCCCGCACAACCTCATAGACGAGGACACCCTAAACCATTATCCCAGGCTGCCCCCCACGCTTTTCAATCTTCGGATGGTTCAGCGACACTGCGCCCTATCCGTCGGAGGAAAGTTTGGCAGCTGGGAGTTTTGCAAAATTTTGCAGATTTCGGTGGTAGTTCAAAGACTCTTGATAGAATCCCTGATGCGGCGATCCATAATCCTGCTCAAACCCTTTTATGTCCCTAGGGTCCCTAAGAGTGCTTTGAGAGACCTATTTAGAAGTTTTTAATTCTTTCCGAGGGTCCTTTGTAAAAAAGGCAGGCGTATGAGGGATGATCTATAGAGAGTTAAACCAGAGGGCTCAGGGCTAGAGGGAGTCAGTGGGAAACATGGCAGTAGTCGCAGAACTATATGGCGGAGATCTGACCCTACAGAAGGACCGGACTCGTTTGAATTTGAGCTGACGGTAAGTAGAAGCTACCCTCTAAGGTAAGTCATATTCACACACGCCCACAGCAGTATTTAAGGCGTTCCAGTAACCCACGTAGTGTCTTGGATGATGCTGCGTTCCCACCAAGACTTCATACATCTTTGTGGAGATGGTTTGGATGCTGCCCCCACTCAGAAACAGTTGGATTATGGACTGTTACTGAGTGGGGGCAGTACCCAAAAGACGGTAGAATCTCCGTAGCTCAGGGATGACAATTGGCGCAATCCTCGTAATCAAAGTCCCTGTAAACACAGTCCCGAATCATCCTAGCAAAGGTTTGCCTGGATCCAGAATGTGTATGTAGACTACAGCCCTATTGGCTGTTTTGATGGGTTCTGGGCTATCATTTTATCAACTTTGGGGTCCAGGTAAGTATGGAGGCATCCCCCTCAAACTTCCAGGAGCCTAAGGCTTTTTTTATATACCCTAAACCCTAAACCTTAAATAGGCAGAAAACGCAAATGTAATACCTCAGTATATGCATCATGTACAGCATCTCAGGCAAAGAAGCCCTGGCTTTCGACCATGGACTCACGGGGCTTAAGGTGAACCGGGATGATGGACGTTTAAATAGCTCAAAAGGCGCGAACTGATGGCCGGCAAGGCCTTTGCAAGCAGCTCCTCAGATAGCTCTGCAAAAGCTTCATACTCGTAACAGCCTCACAAAACGTTTAAATGCTGCAACTCCGTTAAGTTTGTTAAAGTAGGTGAAGACTTTATGACGCCTGCACGCGGTCGGCAAAAAGTACGCAAAGAGCTTTTCAGCATCCAACGATGCACTGGTAATGCTGCTACTATTGTCTCCAAATCCTGGTTAGGAGTTTGGGCCAGAAGGTGCGGGGAAGTGGAAGGAATTTGCACCCATGTATGGATCAGCGCTTGTCGGGAGGAAGTGCTAACTTCGGCTACCAGCTCCCTGCGGTTCTTGATGGTTGCCCTTGGCAACAACCCATGTACCAGCAACAAAAAAACCACACAACTACGGCAGTTCATTGGCCCAACACTTCAACACCAAAGGGATGCACGCAACACCGCTGTGTTACTTTGCCGGAATCATGTGTTTCTTGATAGTACCACAAGCAATACCGCCAGCAAGAGCTCATCTGGCCCTAATGGTCCCATAGCTGATTGAAACACGATTCTTGTAGCCGTACGGGTAGTTCTGAGGGCCCTGATGTGGGGTACTTATGTACTGCGAGACAGCTATGAGCCTCCGAGTAAGATTCTTTGGCTCCCTAATTCTCATATACCCATAAACAACCCTGCATATCACCCCAAATATCTATATGGTACCCCGAGAAGAGAGAACATCTGGGCATCGCCGATAAAAGTGACAAGCCTTCAACCCCAAGCCCCACATCCTAAACAATTGTTTGTAGACATGCGCCATGGACTCAAGATTAAAACAGGAACCCCATGATTTTGCTGTAATCCCACTCAATTTTTGGGGTCCTTATGCTAAGTTATCTTGGTCTCTATGGGGCTTCCCGCTATTGATGGAAGCTTCCATAAACATGAAGACTCCTATCATTTCTATGGTGGTGTTAACCTCATTGTATTTCCTATATTATTATGCCACCCTAATATAACTATATTACTAGGCTATCCTATTGCCGTATCATCAGATTCCTACACTGTCTGTACATACATCTATTACTATTACTCTTACTCCTGCTATTACTATGGTTCTCACTATTACTATTACTATTTCCACCAGCCCTAGATGAAAATCCTAAACTCTAAACCCTAAACCGTTACCCCAAAAATGCCAAGGTTGGCTCCTGGAATCTGCACAGGCAGAGGCGGACGGACTCTGCGAAGAGATCAGGCAGAGAGCAGCAATACAGTTTTAGGGGTTTTGGGGGGTTTGGGGTTTAGGGTGTTGGGGCTTCAGCGGTTTGGGGTTTAGGGTTGAGGGGGTTGAAGGGTCTAGGGCTTTGTGTAAAGTTTAGGGTTTCATCCCTTCCCCCTCATGCGTGCCCCCAACCTACCTGGGCCTGCAAAGCTTTGCTTGTGGAGCTGGGAGCTACTTGTAGGATTTGGGACGCAGACAGGGTTCGGGGCCTCTAGGGCCCCTTTTCATTTCGCAGCTTAATAAGGATATTGGGAAGAAACAAGATCACTGTCTGGATGAATGGGATTTGGATCGTGGGCGTATTTTGCTAGTGCAGACAGATTTTTCTGATCAGCATGCGTTTCTTCAGATTCTCAGGACGTCTGTAGAGCTCAAGGTTCTGTGGTGAGCACATGAGCCGCGATTTTAAAAGCGCTCAATAATGTGCGCCTGGAAGCATGCGGAAGCTTGTGAAAAGAGGAGGCTCGCAGAAGTGCTGTGCAGGATTTGAACCAATATGCTTAGTTCCTGTGCCGGCGCGTTTCGAAGACAGGCACTCCATTTGCGGAAGCGGTATGTGTAGAGATGTTATGGAAGGTTAAGACTCTGCATGTAGAAGCTTGCGACAGGTCCTCGAGGAAAGGCTGCTTGTATCCTCATCGTATTCTTTAACCGGCATACAAGCCACATCTCACACGGTGATGAGATAGATTCAAACGTGGTTTTGGAATTTGTTTGGTGGAAAGTTGTGTATTGCCGGGCTCAGGCCTGATGATGGCAGAACCGGCCATTGCGCCGCTCAAGGTAATCTTCATCCGTTAGTCATCCCTTACCTCGAACATGTCCGCAGCTTCCAAAAGGGCAGTGGCTGTGTTTCCTGTGTGAAGGAAGCACTCCTTACCTAGACCCTCCTCCTACCCTCTAGTAGGGCCTAAGTACCTACTATTAGGGACCATATATCCCCAATTAAGGGTACAAGGAGGGTCCTATAGTATATAATCCCAGTTTCCATTTTATTTTCCATTTTCTTTTCCATTTGATTCTCCAGTATAGTAGTTTCCATTTTATTTTCCATTACCCCAATTAAGGGTACAAGGAGGGTCCTGGTACTGTTGTGGTAGTACGTGGTCGTCTCCTCCTGCTTCCAGGCGTCTGGCGCGCGTCGCGGCCCTTGATACGACTACAGCGGGACTTCGGAAAACTTCTCTTGATTCTTCGCCTCTGCCAACCTCACGTTCGAACCCTAAACCCTAAACCCTAACATCTTAAACACTGAAACCGTAACCAAAAAATCCTTTTAGGGTTTAGGGGTTGTGAATGGTCGTCCGGGTTTGAAACATCAGTTGAAACATTTGTAACATGTAATCTCAGGTTGTTCTCAAGAGCACTTTCGTTGCATTTTGCACAGGACGTAAAATCTGGATATGGGGCATTAAGCAAGATGGAGTTCTGTCAGTCGTATTGTGACATGATTCACGCTGTTTGGTGCTCTGGCAATGAGGAGGGTGGACCCTTGTTGAGTAGAAGAGGTGAAGATAACGGCCCAAATCCAAGGACTTGATTCCATTGTTAATGGAACCAGAAGATACATCTCGACCTCCAGACAAGGGCTTCCATAGATAGTTGGTCCCAGTATAGACACCAATAGATTGCAATCCTTCTCGTAGGGGCTCCCAAAGAAGGCCTCATGTTGGCAACCCATAACTTGGCTTGACAAGAAGAGAATCGCCTGACGTTTGCTGCATATGTTCGCGAACACATAATTTTGGTGCGATTGGTTCGCTGCCTTACCCCATGTTGTCGAAGTTACACATGGTAGCATTTGATCCCAACTTTTCTTGCTTCTTTTGCCCTTTTGTCTTAGGAGGGTTAGAGGTTGAGCGTAATTGATGGGTACAACTTCCTTGTAGACAAGGAACTTTGATGTTTCTCAACTTGATGAGTTCCATTTGGTCTCTCTTCTGCTATGAGCCTTAATGGTTTGGGGTGCAACGTGGAATTTTTTCATACATAGGGGCTTCAATATAGTCCCCCCAAAAACGGACCCCCCCAGACAGGGACCCCTATTTGTGGAAACCCTAAGCCCTAAACCCTCGGGACGCGTCGATACCGCAACTAGCAGACCTGGGCATAAGGGAAGTCCTTTTCATGGACGACGCGGTTTTCTGGGATATTGATCAGGCAGTGCTGGGGAGAAGGGTGAGTCAGTTGGCAACGGTTATGAAACAATGGGGGCTTGAGTTGAACCCGGACAAGTGTCAAGCGTATGTCAGCCCGCATGCGCGCAGCGGCCAGAGCATTGTGATTGAGGGACAACGTCTGTCCCCCCAACCCTGTTTGGATGTGATGGGGCTCAATTTGAGTGTGACAGCCACGGCTAGCGAAACCATTGCCCCCTTGATTGCGAAAGCTAGAGGCGCCTTTTGGAGTATGAAACATGTGTTGTGCAGAAAGGCAAGTATTCACAAACGGCTTCAGGTTCTTGACACGGTGGTGGGAGGATGCCTGTTGTGGTGTTGCGCAGCTTTGATGCCGGACGTACAAGCGTTGGGACTGGTGAACTCCTTTCAGTGCCAGATGATTGTGTGGATGCTGAAGAGGGGGCGTCAAGCAGGGGAGACATGGGTTAGTCACCACATGCGGACATTTCGAGAGGCCAGGGCCCTGCTCTTCTACCACAAACAGCCCAGGTGGAGCACGAACTGGTTAACTAGAATGTGGAACTATTGGGGTCACTGGGCCCGGGGGTATACCGACAAGTGCCGTTGGCGAGTGGGGTTGTGGGGAGCTGGCGGGACAGGCCGTGGTGGCAGCGACAACAACAGCTTGCAACAGGACAAAGGCACAGGGGTCGCTTTTTTGCTAAGTTGATGCCGATGGAGCAAAAACTAGACCTTGCAGTCCATCAACCATGGAAGGAGGCAGCGCAAGACAGGGTTCAGTGGAGACAGGGGCTGGAAACATTCCTACGCAGCATGGATCTTCCTTGGGCAAGCGGCAGACAGACAGCATTGGAAGGGTAATGCCTACATGGACATGTTCACCTTGGTGCTTGCAACAGAAGCAGTCATGTGTGTCAGGGCTTCGCTGAGCATCAGAAGTTTGTGAAGTGCTGGTTTTCCCGCAGCTGAGTGCTTCTGACAATCTCGTAAGCGTTGCACACAGTTAGTTCTTTCATGGCGATGTGGTGGCAGCTTGCGCTGCCCATCTTTGTGTTTATCCAGGGCAAGATTGCAGATGAGCAACGGCCCCTGAAAGACCCACGAGAAATTTTGACAGTCACCACCGAGAAGCATCCCTCTACGGCCATGCAGGGCAAGATGGGACGGCACCTGGAGCTTGCACCAGGGGTAGTGCAGGAAGAGGTGCGAGAAGACATAGTGAGTTTGATGATGGCACCATGGGATGGAGCCCAGCCGGGGCTAATGGAGGAAGAGACCTCGGAGGCACTCCTGGACGAGGCGGTAGCGGAGATCCGCAGGCTAAGAGACCGAGACCCTCGCAGCAGCAGAAACCTGGTGCATCTGCTGACAAACTATGTGTTGAGAGGGGTTCGCTCAAGACTGCCGAGCATGCGGCAGTTCGAGAGAGAACTTCGAGGAGTTCTGGAAGCATGGTGGGTGCAACTACGCCACCTGCAAAACAACCATGCAGATTGCCATGCCAATTGGGTGTGGACCTACTGGGGACGCGTTCGGAGCCGCTGCAGGGCGGCCTCAAGGCGGGCGGTTCAACGACAACGAGTTCTACGGGACAGAGCACACCCTGAAGCATGTGAGCGTGAACAGGACCAGATGGATGTTGATGAGGCCCTTCAACAACCCCCCCAAGGCGAGCAAGACGTGGCACTGGAGGATGGGGCTATGGGCCAGGATGCCCTCCAGCCCTTGCAAAATGGGTATGAGGAAGACAAGCCCCCTGTGGAGTTGGATGTGGACGCAGCTCTACACCTGGACCAGGGACGCGTGGAGGCCGAAAGTCCTAAGATGGAAGAGTCGCCTCAGCAGGAAGCAGCGCCACGGGGATCACCAGAGGCTGAGGTGGTTGAGTTGATGCAGCGATACAGCAATGCGCCTTGGAAGGCGAGACCTAGGGACAAATGGCTTGGACATGGAGATGGAGATGGAGAGCACCGCCGTAGGTGGAAGTGGAAGGACCAGCCGCCACGTAGCAAGGAGGGATCACCTCCCCGCAAGTCCAAGGGCAAGGGCAAGGGCAAGAAGGGACAAGGACCGTTTTGGACTACGAAGACAACCAGAAGATTGGCTCCGTTGCAGAGAAGGCCTCCTCGGACCGACGCAGGGAGCTCCCGTGCTCGGACCAGTGACACGTGCCGAGATGAGGATATGGAAGTGGTGGAAGTAGAAGACGAGTCGGGAGCAGCCTCGTCGAGTAGACCAGCAAGGGAGGAAGAGCCAGGCAGGGAATTGCTCACTATGGCCGATGCAAGAAGTTTGTGGAGGAGCTTCCAAGACCTTGATGAGGAAGATGATCCAATGGGGTATCCCCAGTGGACTCTTGACAGGGTTAGGGATACGATAGTGGACTGGGAGACGATGGAGATCTCCACGCTCATGCTTGCGCACACGCAGATGCAAGCGTTGCAGGCGGCCCAGGTGTCCCAGATCTTGCAGGAGCAACTTGACAGGCTCGCAGGAGGGGAAGAAGAACAGGAGGAAGAGCCTGAGAATGCATGCATGATGCAGACAACGGCAGGTATCTGGACACAGGGAGGGGCAATTTCCTCCTTTACCCTGATGGTAGACCAAATGTCCAAAGAGCTGCAGAATATGGCCATGGCGCGCCAGAAGAGCTCTGCAGAGCTCCTTCGCGGCATGTTGTCACAGAGGTACGGCACGGGGATTGGTCGCTCAGCCATGGGTGATAAGGCCAAGACCATCGAGGCTTTGGTGGGAGCCTATGGCATTGACGATACGGACGCTGACACCGACTACATGGAAACCTCTGAGGACAAGCTGTGGGCCGGCAACTGGTGGCAAAGGTTTGTGACGCATCTTGTCAAGGACGATGCTGAGCTCAGAAACGCCAAGAAGGACGCTGCCATCCTGGTTCAGGACAGTTGTGAAGGTGCGGGGTCGGCATCCTCGACCCAGCTGGATAGACCAGCCTCTGTCATGGAGACAGCCAGTCCAGATCGCCTTCTACAAGCAGAAAGGGAAGAGTATGAGGCAGCGCAAAGGGCAGAACAAGCAGAGATTGACAAAGCCATAGCCAAGCACGAGCAAGACGTGGAGAATGAAAGAAGGGCGGACGAGGAGAGGTATGAGACTCTGCAGGCCATGCGCGTGAGAGAATGGGAAGATTGGACTATGGCCCAAAATCTCGGCCAAGCCAGTGGCGGACGCCGGGTCAAGCTGAAGATTCAAATCAGCATGCAGGGGCACCTTGTGGAACCGTCTGTGGAAGTGGACATGCGAGAGGGGAGCACGTGGGAGTGGCGATGACTGTGACTGGCCCAGAGCCGGCCTCGCCTGGTGGACCTATTGGAGGCTCTAGCAGGGTGTTAGAAGCCAGCACGGTCCCTTGGGATCAAGGAAGTGTGCGGGTGCCAAAGCCGACTCTGGACAACGACCCTCTGGCTGCCTTCTTCGAGTCGGAGCGCGGAGATAGGTTGTGGCAGCAGTGGTGCGTGGGCGTCAGCAACCAGCAAGTTAAGGAGCAATATGGCGAGGATGTGCTGGAGGCGGTGATCGCGTCGGAGCTGATGTTGCAGCAGCAAGCCCAAGCCCGGCAAGAAGCTCTGAGTGCTACGGCTAGTGTGGAAGGTGACCGTGGAGGGCAAGCAGGGTCAGAGTGACTGTTCAGTTGTGTGCCCGATACCAGCAGAGGGGTGACAAGTGAGAGTGGGGTTCTTTTCAGGGGCGGTTGCTGATTGTGCAGTTGGAGTGAGCTCAGCTTCCGCTCGGCCAATATCGGCCTTCGCCCGCATGGACGGACGAAAAGAGCGCTTAAAAAAAAAACTCTTGGAGAAAAGATCCGATAAAAGAAACACTCTATAACTCCATATTTATGTCCCTTTATAACCACTTTCTCCGCTTTCAAGCGACCCCCCAGTCGTAGGGCCGTCTTCATTTCAGGTCAGTATGGCTGCAGCAGAGCCCGCTGGGGGAAGGACCGGAAGCTTGCATGGGTTGATGTTAGCTACAGTCTAAACTCCTTCAAGGAGGGTATGTAGGGATTATATAGCAGAGTAGGGGTTACTAAGGGGATGCTAGGGAGTTTAGACTATAGCTCATGTGAAGGAATGTACTCTCGGCAAGCATCATCGGAAACCTGATTTTTTGCTACATATCCACTTTGTGGTAGCTCAACTTAAGTGCCTTAATGCTCACAGCAACCCAATTACAAGCGGCAGATTGCAGATTGTATATTGACAGGGATCTGAATGGGCTGTGTGTAGATCATGTTGGGATGATTTTGGACGGGCCTTTGGCTGAGGGACTTTTGCGGATGGCTTGCGTTTGGCTTTGGCTTCTGGTGTTGGAACCGATGTGGGAATGACGTATCGGCATAGGCATTCTATCTTCTGTGACCTGTCAAATTTTCCGTGTGGTCTAACAGCCTTGCAGCTTGGGCCTTGGGCAGCAGCAAATGCAGCAACAATATTAGCAACTCCCTATTAAAGCTCCATGGCGAGTTCTGCCAGTTCATCCATTGCAGGCATCGGGTTGACTCGGGCGGGGCTCCTGAATCTTTTAGTTGTTCGTCAGGCAAAGAGCAAGCCTGCTTGCGCGACATCCTTGGTAGAATCCTCTCACATGAGCCTTTGCTCAGTTGCGAGATTGCAGGGGGTTGCCTGCCCGCGGTGGCATCTCAAAAGGATTCCAGCTGCCCTCTAAACTTGACGAGCCTCATTTGCAGAGGAGCTGATAATTGTTCCCTGGTCCCTGGAGGCCTTGAAATCAAGATATAAGTCTTTTAGGGCCTCCTCATATAAGGAGAAGCCCTTCGCGAGACAAAGCCATTCTGCCAAAACCCACCCAGCCCCAAATAAAACCCAAAAGCACTGAAGCCTACCCGGATCCTTATATCCTACCCCCTTTCAAGGGGGAGCTACTAGGCCTGAGGTTGGTACCCAAAAAGCCCTAAACCCTAAACCCCAAAAAGCGGGAAGAGTATATGGTTCTAGCTTCAAAGCGGTTGCAGGATTTCTCCCGCAGCTGATGAGCTTCAGTTTGACCAGGCCGTCTGAGTTATAGTCTAAACTCCTTAAAAGGGGGGGGTTAGAGAGGCGATTATATGGTATAGGGTTAAGGGTTTAAGGTCTAAACTCCTTAAAGGGAACTAGTTAGGGGATTACATAGTATGGGGTTTAAGGTTTATAAGGTCTAAACTCCTTAATGGGGGGGCTATTTAGGGGATTATATAGGGGAGTATTATAGGGACTATTCGGGGGGGATGCTAGGAATTTAGACTATAACACTTATAATCCCCCTGTAGAATCCCAGTTTCCATTTCATTTTCCATGTTCTTTTCCATTTGATTCTCCATTATTAAGGGGGATACTAGGAGCTTAGACACCCTAAACCCTAAACCCTATACCCTAAACCCTATCTTCTACCAATGGGCTTGAAGGCCTTTGCCTTTCCGAAGCTTTACAGGCCTGCTCTTAGGGAGTGCTACGGAGGCTAGCTAGGGTTTAGGGTTTAGTTTAGTGTACAGGGCGCTGGAGACTCAAAGATTTTTCTTAGTTGTTTAAGGGGTCTCAGGTGGGATTCGATGAGGTTCTTATTAGGTTCTATGTTGTGAACAGCAGACTGAGAGCTGAAGCCTGGGTCGGCATCATGAACCCAGTTTCCATCGTCTTTTCCATTTTAGTTAGCAGATTTTTCTGTTATTGGTAATCATGTACTAGGTGAAGCTCCTTGATCCCGACCCCTCATACCTCTTTCGAAAGGCACGATGCAGCTTTAACACATTGCCTGGGAAAGCCTTTCTGGAGCAAGGATAGATGCGCAAGGTATCTTTTTAAGCAGCAGTTTGTTCAACTTGGCATTGTACTCACTGGCAGCATTGGAAAATGATGAGGTACGTGTGCTGCGAAAATTTGCTTGAGGCATAATAACTGTAAGGTTCGGGCTTTGGGTTTCAAGGTTTCGCACTTGGCTTGAAGGATTCGGATTCTGCAAGGTCAGTTTCTTGGTTTTCACAGTTCGTGGCTCACCTGAGTCTATTTTCTAAAAATGCAGATGGCGGCCCGACGCTTCAAACTAAGATGTACTAGCTGTATATCCACATGCCTACCTTTAGCTATTAGCCCTTTTGAGTCATATCTACACAAGTCAGCCTATACAATATTCGAACCCCTGAATCTTAAAGTGGCGGATGTTCTCTGCCAGCGTTGTGCAGGCGCAGCTGATCTACCGGGTCGTCGAAGAAGAGCACGGCTCCCGTTTGGTAATTGTTTCGGACTTGTACTGAAATTGTTGGGCTTTCCGCTCAGGATTCGGTTTGGACCCTTTTTGAAGAGGAGTCTCTTCGGAGAAAGTGTTCCCGAATGATGTCTCCCTCTCCTGGGAGTGGGGGACGTACTAGATACTGAGAATTGGGTATGAACCAACCCATACCCGTAACTTGGGTAGCCTTCGCATGGGTAGCTGGGGGATTTAAACCTGAGCTATGGCTCATTACTTACTCAGTACCTCCACCCTCCAAGCAGGAAAGACCTCAAGAGCCATATCCATGAAGTCTAGACTCCTAGTATCCCCCTCTATCGCCCCTGTATTACTCCCCTACATCCTTTACATAAGCCCCTTTAAGGAGTTTAGACTCTAGTCCATTTGAGCTATAGTCTAAACTCCTAGTATCCCCCTTTATAAGATCTATAGTAGTCCCCTATATAATCCCCTATATAACCCCCCTTTAAGGAGTTTAGACTCTAGTCCATGTGGTGTTCTCCTGCGGAGTGATTCATGCCTTAGGAGTGATTCCGAGGTTAGAGCTACCCAGATTCAGGGTATAAAGGAACTTAAGCTAAGTTACTACGATAAGCCAACCATATGGTTAAGGGTTCAGGGTTTAGGGCTTAGGGGTTTACTATATCATCATAACATGGTAACTTAAATGAAATGAAGTTCTTGAAGGACGCCCCAGGATATTGTGTCGCCGTCTTCAGCTCTTTTGCTGGTTTCAGGATGATTCTCGGTACAGGAGCAGTGATATTTGAACATGCTGTGTTGTGAATAAGTATGAGTGTTTCCAATACTTAAAGGTTACAAAAATGGGTACTTGTTTGGGGTCCCTATAAGAGGATTCCGGTATGCTGTGGTCTATGTGGGGGGTCCCCCTTTTCTATGGAACCCTTTACAAAGCCTAGAACAAATATTAATAATAAGAATACCTGAGCCCCAAAAGTATGTAAAATAATAGCCCTAAACCCCTAACAATAGCCATAAAGGCCATTATTTTACATACCTCTGGGGTTCAGGTAATAGTATAAATAATAGTAATCAAAATAGTAATAGCAAGACCCTTCCCAGGCTCGAGAGGCTGCGGCAGCAGAATGAGGCTGCTGCGGGCTGTTTTTTGTTGGATTTGAGGTTCCTTTTGGGGTTTGGGTTGGCAAGACGGCTTGAATGTAGCAAAGGATCATGCAAAACATCCCCCTATAAAGTGCCCTGCTTGCATTGGCCCCCTTGATTGCTTGTTGACTGCAGTGGCCTGTAGGCTTACCAAGCATAGTCGGTCTTTTGGAGGCCACCTTTGTGGGACCAAAAAAGGCTACCACATTTGAGTGCTTCCGTAGGGCATGGTATTTTCAAATTGGAAGATGGACTATATCAGATGCTCTCATCATGGCGTGAACTGTCAGCATTTGTATGTATTGATATGGGTTTGGAGATGAGGTTCACACCTCTTACAGCCCGCTCTTGAAAGTGCATGTCTTCCTGGTAAGTGTAGCTCCGTTGCCAATCCTAGAACAAGCCCTGCTGGACTGGCGCCATACCTTTGGAACGGAACAATTGGAACTACCACATGGGGTGATTTCTGGTTGCCTGTTTCGGTAACCTTCGATGTAAGACAGTTTTGTTGGGAATCGTTTTGTTTGGGGGCGCGGTGCGTGGGCAAGGGCGGGTACGCAGCGGGGTTGACTAGTCGCAAAAAGCTCGGCAGAACGGCCCATAGTCCCCAGATAGCCTCTCCTCTTTCATATTATGCTGAACCATACTACTTCTGCCAGGAGCTTATTGAGCAGCGAGCTCAAGAGCAGGTGCGGGGTCCAGCTGGGGTGCTGTCAGACTGATGCGCCTCTTTTCTGGTTGCCTCACTTCCCTACAGCTTCCATGTACCCAAGAATTACGTAGTTGGGTTTTGGGGTTCACTTCGCATTAATAAATGGCCCCCCTTGATTGATCTATCTACATTCTGGCGGCCCCCTGAATAACAATGGCGAAAATCATGGTTACGAAGTAGTATCAGTATGAGTATGATTATCAAAATGAGTAATTATGGGTATGAACATGAGTAGGATTCGGAGTAGGAGTAGGTTCTACATTCAGTCCCTGCAACTTTCTGGCTAACATTGCCAGCAGTAAGCAAGCTCTAATACTACCCCCCTAAAACCTCTAGGTTTCCTAACTTCTTCAGACAGAGGTTTGAGGT